CCCAAGTACTTGGGCCATCTTCTGATTTCCCAAGTTACAGCAGAGAGCTGGATTGGAAGAGGAGCAATCGGGACTCAAACCGGCGTTCATATGGGATGCTGGCACCACAGAAGGCGAATTAACCTCCTGTGCCACTGGGCAGGCCCCTAGACTTCTTAATTAGAAGTGAACCATGAGGTTGTAAAGAAACCTCATGAGGTTGGTTCAGAAAGGGAGAAGGGAAAGGTTCTTGGAATGTGGATGCATTGGCGTCTTTCTTCCAGTTGTCCCACAGATATGCTGGAAGGCAAGGGAAGAAACCTATTTCATGGAGAACCACGTATACACATGGACCCGGGAGCACTACACTTCGCATGGCGGAGGGAAGGCTAGGAGAAGGCAGGCACGACTTTGGTGACTCTTTGTGGAATATGAATTAATTCTCACTTTCAAACGTGCTCGGTGTTCTGGAAAATCTCCCCATCCATCGGATGTTTGTGATGAGGAATTACGGAGTGGAAGTGGGGACACTAACGAGGCTTGGCCTGCAGAAGTCTGCAGCTTCCGGGGTCAGCGTGGACTTCCCGCTCCTGCCTGGGCTGCCCTCAGACCCCTGTTCTCCACTCCGTGGTCCAGGGTTTGACTGTTTAACCGTTGGAGGCTGGCATCCAGGAGCCGCGAGGAAGATCTCACCACTCGCCATCATGTAATTTGCCAGTGAGGGATTCACAAGTTTTGAATGAAACTTACTAGATTTAGGTTTCCTCTGGACCCTCTTTTTTTTTTTATTTGACAGGTAGAGTTAGACCGTGAGAGAGAGGCAGAAAGGTCTTCCTTCCATTGGTTCACCCCCCAAATGGCCGTTATGGTCGGCGCTGTGCTGATCCGAAGCCAGGAGCCAGGTGCTTCTCCTGGTCTCCCATAGGGTGCAGGACCCAAGGACTTGGGCCATCCTCCACTGCACTCCTGGGCCACAGGAGAGAGCTGGCCTGGAAGAGGGGCAACTGGGACAGAACCCGGTGCCCATATGGGATGCCGGTGCTGCAGGTGGAAGATTACCAAGCGAGCCATGGCGCCAGCCCCTGGACTCTTTTTTTTTTTTTTTTTTTAAGATAAGATTTATCTATTTATTTGAAAGGAAGAGTTAGAGAGAGGCAGTGGCAGAGAGAGAGAGAGGTCTTCTATCTGCTGGTTCACTCCCCATATGGCCATAGTAACTGGAGCTGGACCACTCTGAAGTCAGGAGCCTGGAACTTCTTCTGGGTCTCCCTTGTTGGTGCAGGGGCCCAAGGACTTGGGCCATCTTCTGTTTTCCCAGGCCACAGCAGAGAGCTGGATTGAAAGTGGAACAGCCGGGTCTCGAAACTGCGCCCATGTGGGATGCTGTCACTACAGGTGGCAGCTTTACCCGCTATGCCACAGTGGCGTCCCCTCCTCTGGACTCTTTAAAATCATGAATTCTTCAAAAGGATAAAATAAGGTTGCTTATCTTGGGTTATAAAATCATGAATTCTTCAAAAGGATAAAATAAGGTTGTTTATCTTGGGTTATGGTTTATAAATATTTTTAGTGAATTGTTGGAGTTTGCAGACAAAAGGTAGAATTTCATTTCTACTTGAAAACAAAAAGATACTATTTGTTGCAAATAATTAAATAGAAAATGAAGGCATAGCAAGCATCATAAAATGGTTGCGCCAGGGAGAGAAATTTGTTACCTTTTCAGGTTGATGTAAGTGGGAATGAGAAGTATCGTTGTTTATTCAACTAAAACTGTCTGGGCAAGTTTCATGGGAGAACATTTGTGTTACCTATAAGATGATTGGCAACCACTAAGGAAGCTCCCAAGCCATGGGTTTAGCATACTTTTATTCTAATAAAAAAGGATAATCATTGTTTTCATTTCTTGTTAAATTCTCTTTGAGTGTCATAAAAGTAAAAGAAATACAAGTGTCCTTAGTTATTTAAGTGCTGTTTGCTGAGTAGGTTGAGAATGAAATCCTTTTCAAAATTGGAGATGGCATTAGAGAGATGGTGTATGAGAGAGAGAGGGAGAGAGGGAGACAGAGGGAGACACCTTTCTTTCTTTGCAGGGCTCCTTTCCAAGCTTGCTTGAAGAATGCTTTTTAGGATGGACCTCAAACCATCCATAGGTTCTGGCTTTCTTGAGTGGCGGCAGCTGGTTTAATGGAGTTCCTGTGGGCTGTACCTGGAGGTCTCTGTCAGCAGCCCAGAGTCTTCTTAACCAGACTAAGCTGCCCTGGTGTCATCGTCCAAGAGGCCAGAAAAGCCTGCAGATCCACTTACAAAACGAGGCCTCGCCAGCCCCCAGCGATGGAGAGAGCCAGGTGCTATGCTGGCTGTTGAGATACGCATTCAGGGAAGTGTTTAAAGATGAAGTCGCATATGGAGAAGCATCTGGATCGCTGTGATGTTTGTGTCAGGTCTTTAAGAATGTGATACTGCCTAGGAGATTGGCACACCTAGGTAGATATGTGTCATACAGTTTAGCGCGTCTTTAACCCATACGTTGTGTGGCACTGTCACTGGAGGCAGATCTGTGTGCATGGCCGGGGCCCCGCATCTCAGGCCTTTGCTGTGAGGCCTTCTGAACACCCACACTGACTCTCAACCTCCTTCCCTGCATGGTTTTTCTCCATGTGACATGTCCTCATGTGCATCCCGCTCATGTGAGTTCCATGAGGATGAGTGTGGTCCACTTGTCCACATGGGGCTCAATGTCTTGTTTCTTAAAAGATTTACTTATTCATTTGAAAGGCAGAGTTACAGACACACATCAGGAAAGACAGGGAAAGAGATCTTCCATCTATTGGGTCACTCCCCAAATAGTCACAATGGCCAGGGCTGAGCCAGGCGGATGCCAGGAGCCAGGAGCTTCTTCTGGGTCTCCCATGTGAGTGCTGAAGCCAAGGACTTGGACCATCTTCCGCTGCCTTCCCAGGCCTATTGGCAGGAAGCTGGATTGGAAGTGAAGCAGCCAGGACTCAAACCAGCATCACAGGCAGTGACAACTAGCTATGCCACCATGCTGGCCCTGTTCGATATCTTTGATGGTGTAGGTACGTGGTCAGTTGCTTGTGAAATACGTGTGGTATGACAGAATGTAGCCAGGAGAGCATTCCTGGCTCCTTAATGACTGTTCAGTGGTGGGTGGTTGCATTCCATCTGGGGCTGGAGGAACGGGTGGCAGTGGGCTCATGAGAGCATGAGCAGTCCCTCTGGCCAAAGACAGCGGTGATGTTAGTGTGTACCACTGTATATCTGTAGAGAAGCTCTGAGCTTTGAAGGCTGAATGTGGGAGTTGTAGAAGTGGAGTTTGTGGGCTTTTTCCACCAGGAATTTTGTTCTGGAGTATGTATGCCAGGCCTCAGAAACGCCCCTGCAGCTCTCGAATCCAGTGCTTGGGACAGTGGCCTCCTTAGCTCAGGTCATTTGTCCTGGTGGTGAGTAGGGTGGTGACTCCCTTTGGCTAAACAATGAGTCCCATATCCTTAGGGAGCTGGATCTAAGGGTCTTCAGTGGCAGAATTAGGTCTCTGACTTTGTTCTCAGGGTGTCCGACTCAGATGCCAAAGCATAGGTGTTCAATGATGTATGTTTAGGGAAGGGAGGAGACATTTCCTTTTTAAGGACAACCTGGGGGCTGGCACTGTGGCATCATGGGCTAAGCCTTTGCCTGCAGTGCCGGCATCCCATGTGAGCACCGGTTCACGTCCCAGCTGCTCTTCTTTCAATCCAGCTCTCTGCTTGTAGCCTGGGAAAGTGGAGGATGGCCCAGGTGCTTGGCCCCTGCATCCACGTGGGAGACCCAGAGGAAGTTCCTGGCTTCAGATCAGCTCAGCCCTGGCTGTTGCAGCCATGTAGGGAGTGAAGCAGTGGATGGAGAACCTTTCTCTCTCTCTCTGTCTCTCTCTCTCTCTGTGACTCTACCTCTCATATAAATAAATACAATCTTACAAAAATAAAGGAGAAACAGCCTGATGTACTAGGTTGGCGTTCACTGAGGGAGGGGCCTGTATTTCATTTCTAATTGTATTTTTACTTCCTGCAATATTGCCAGTCACGTAACAGAAAGAAGGAAGAAATGATTGAACAAGTGCACAGGCTGTATTGATTTGGGGCTTCCGGTGGTAGTCATTTCTGACTAATGTAGGGTTTAATTATGCAGACAACATCATTAAGAGAGCCTGTAGTGGTCATCTTCGGAAAGCAGCAGTGTCCAGCTGTAGTGCACGCGGCAGCAATGAGTGGCACCAGCAGACAGGACACCTCTGTGGGTGCAGACGGTGTGAGGGGTCCTATGCCGTCCACCACATCAGCCGTTTAGACAGCCGACAGCCCTGTGTGGAAGTGCCGCTCAGACACCATGTGGACTCTGTGGCTATTGGGGATGCTGGGCGGGGTCAGCAGGGGATGCTCTTGGTCCAGCCTGTCCGGGATGGGCTCAGGAGTCGGCCTGCAGATGGGTCTTCCAAAGTAGAAGGGTGCAGATTGTCAGAGTGGGAGAAGCCCTCTGCAGGCCATCCCTTGAAAGAGAGATGGATGCCCTTTGGTGACCGGCATCCCTCCCAGAGCCTAATGGAGCCTCAGACACTGTCCCTTTGCAAAGCTGTGGTGGCACCAGCTGCAGCACAGACTCCACATTGGGGCACTTGGTGCTAAGAGCTCTGTAGTAACAGTGACATGAGTGGCATGAGTCAGAGGCTCCACTGAGGGTTGAAGGACGTACACGGGGATGTCTCAAGATTCCCGAGCTGTTAAAACTCAGGGCACCCTCGGCTCGTCAGGATGATCCTGCTGTTCTCTGTGCTGGCGTCCAGGAACGAGCAAGTGCACTAGTGTAGAGCGTTAGAGAACAGACATACAAGTGTTGACCAAGATGGGGGAGGTGGTGTTCCCTTCTCCACTCAGGCCAAGCTTCATGGGCACATAGGTTCCATGGGGTCGAGGGCTCAGAGTTGACCCACACCCAGCTAACCCTGTTTCTTCCATCCTGTCTCCCAGCATGGGCTACTGCATCCTTTTTGTGCACGGACTGAGCAAGCTCTGCACATGGCTGAACCGATGTGGGGCCACCACCCTGATGGCGTCCACCGTGCTGCTGCTCCTGCTGTTCTCCTGGAAGACCGTGAAACAGAATGAAATCTGGCTGTCGAGAGAGTCCCTTTTCAGGTCAGACTTGGGGTCTTCCCATTGATCTCATTGCTAACGCGTGTCACTCCGAAACAGTGAGGTGACATGGGGCTGGTGGTGTGTGTTAATGCATTTTTAGTAGAAGTTGAAGATGGAAGATGCAGTTTGAGTTCAGGTGCTAACTTTGTGTTCTTGAACGACGTGGTATAAAATTGGACATGAGCTCATTCCAAGTGGGTTCATGAAAATAAAGCTCGTGGGAAGGTCTTGGGGTCTGTGGGTTCAGATGATGAGCTGAGCTGGGCTGCAAAACTCAGCCAGAAGCAACATGGAGCCCCTACGGCTCATGTCATCATTGAGTCCCGTGAAGAGGGCGGGTGGGTGAGCACACAGCAGGAGGAAGAGGAGGGTCACGTGTCCTTGAGAAGACCCCCGTGGGTGAAGGCGTGAACATTATTTTTGAGTGAGGATTGAAAGACCTTGTCATTTCTATGTTGAGGGGCGACATTTCACCTTCCTACCCCCAACTGGCCGCAAAGCGTGTTCTTTGCTATCATCCCCCATCGTGCTGTGTTTCTGGGCTCGGACTGTCTCACGGATGCCACAGTCCTGGTGGCCTGTCCTGGGCTCTGCCGCTCCGGGCATGCTTGCAGTGTTCTCTGAGTCGCCAGGGGTGTCGAGCCCGTATCTTCACGTACCGCCTAGTGGGCTGGCTGAGTCACCAGGTGTGTGCTTGGTCACGTGCTCAGCTGGTGCCTGGCCCTCTTTCCTTAGGAGCAAACAGCTGAGGCAGAGTTGGGGTCACGTGGGGAAAGGGTAGAGGGTTGGAAGACAGTGGGGAAGCAGGCAGTTGGGACGGAGCGGCTAAGAACGAGCACACCCCCCTGAGCCCATTCTCAGGAATGGGAGCCAGCGGGGAGTCTCACTGTTACTCTGTCTACGTACACCTCCTGGAAGAAGGAGGTCTTTTGGCTTAGTGTGAGCTCGGGGCACGTGGCTGCCTTTGGTCACTGCCAGGCCCTGAAATGAGTGATGTCGCCAGGGAAGCCTCCTCCGACTTCCATGGCAGGAGTTAGCACAGGCAGACACGCGGGACTCCACAGCGTGAGGGAGGGGTGTGTCCCAGCAGGAGACCATGGGCAGGGAAAGAGAGGCTGCCAGAAAGAATGCAAGTGAGCGAACAAACGAGACACATGTTCACTGCAAGCCTCTGCTATTTTTAAATAAATATTGGATTTTACCACCAAACTTTTAAAATAGACAAAAAAGTTTGGTGTGCTGTCCTGTTATTTTTTATTGTTGCTCTGTCATTGTCCTTGTTATCGCTGCCATTGTCAATGGGTACCACAGAGAATGATTGCTGAGGGAAATATTTGTGTAGAATTTTTTAATGATTTTTTTTCTCCGCCTAGACCTGGGACACTATGCTCCTTTTTTTTTTTTTAAGATTTATTTATTTATTTGAAAGTCAGAGTTACACAGAGAGGAGAGGCAGGGAGAGAGAGAGAGAGAGAGAGAGATCGATCTTCCATCCGCTGGTTCACTCCCCAATTGGCCACAACGGCTGGAGCTGTGGTGATCCAAAGCCAGGAGCCAGGAGCTTCTTGCAGATCTCCCACATGGGTGCAGGGGCCCAAGGATTTGGGCCATCTTCTACTGCTTTCCCAGGCCATAGCAGAGAGCTGGATCAGAAGTGGAGCAGCCGGGACTCGAACCTGTGCCCATATGGGATGCGTGCACTGTAGGCTGTGGCTTTACCTGCTGTGCCACAGCGCCAGCCCTGACTCTGCTCTTCTGATTAGGCTTGTGATTCTGGCCAGCTTCCGTCATACCCCTGCTCCCCAGCATTGTTCTCACAGAGCACTGTGGAGCGGTTACTCGTCCCTGTCTATAGACACAGGAGCAGTGTAATGCGATGATTCCAGTCTCTGCTTGTCTGTTCTCTCTCCTTTCCTTGCACTTTCAGTGGTCAGTACTTCTATGAGAAACTGTAGAACAGTTCCACCCTGCGTTCAGCCCTCTGCCTGTGCCGAGGTACCCACAGGTGTATCGGCAGTGGCTGTGTCTTCTGGTGAAGGCTACTGACTGCAGAGGTTTGTTTCAAGGATGGCGACTCAGCGTTCAAACCTCTCCAGCTGATGCCAGCAATTTAAAAGCAGAGGGACAATCACCCTAGACACAGATGGAGTTCCAGGCTCCAGGCTTCTGCCTGGCTCAACTCCTGCTGTTGTAGGCATTTGGAGAGTGAACCAAGTAAATGCGAGATCTCCCTCCATCTCTTCCTGCCTCTTAGATAAATAAGTTATAAAAAAAAAAATCTAAAATGTTACCCAACAAAAGCACAGGAATTCAGCATTTGTATCTCATCAGAGGCTTGGGGAGAGTGGATTTGCTAAGCTCAAGGAGCTGTTAAGAGGAAGAGCCAGGATTTGAACCGAAATACGGTGTAAGTACCAAACAGCACAAAAACATGGGTGTACTTTTTAAAGTTTCTTTGTTGTCACCTAAGCTAGATCCAAATGAGAGATAGAGATACAGCTAGAGAGGTGAGAGAGAGAGAGAGAGAGAGAGGGAGAGGGAGAGGGAGAGGGAGAGGGAGAGGGAGAGGGAGAGAGGGAGGGAGGCAGGGAGGGAGGGGGAGAGGGAGATTAAGAGAAAGAGGCACTCATAATACAAGATGTATTTTCTTTAATTGTTATAACGAGAAATTGCCCTGTGCTGTAGCCTGGGAAGAGGATAACCACATAGGCCTGGGCCTGCAGCAGCCCAGAACCTGACCTCTGGAGAGGATCGTGGCCTGAGAACAGAAGCCCATCTGCAACACACCTGAGAGCCAGAAGCTTCACTTCCCCTGCACCCTGCTCAGGGTCTCTCTGAATCCCAGTTCATGGGCTGTCTCAGAGACCCCGGCTCCTCCAGGCACAGTTTGTGGCCTACATCTCTGTAGGACACGCGTTCCCCCACCCCTTCTGAATGGCTGAGCCAGAGAGAGGCCCAGACCTCCCAGGGCAAGGGATGGACACCAGGCACTGACAGATTCTTCTGTAAGGAGCCACATGATCAGTAGTTGAGGCTTTGTGGGCCCTGAGGTCTCATTTACGGCCCCTGTATTCAGCTCTGCCGTTGCTCTGGCACAAAGCCCAAACACATGAATGCATGAACTCATCTAAGGCCTGGGAGGCCAGGGTTTGCCTCCCAGTGATGTAAACCCTGTTGGTGAAATGGCACTGATTTCACTGCGTTCCAGGGTTGTATCTTAGAGTCCTGTGTTGCTGTCCCAGCCAGTGTGGAGCAGCTCAGGAACGAGTCAGTCCCTCTGTTGGCCTTGGTGTGGAAAGGATCTGACCTCTGGCTGAGCTCCAGTCTGTTCATCTGTGCAGTGGGAGCTGCAGTAACAGGATGAGGGGCTTCAACACACCCTTGCAAAATGGAATTGAAAAAGAAGTCTCTTTTTGTATACGAAACCTTCAGATTCATGCATGTGAAAGATCTTTCAGAAGTTCATGAAAATCCATGTTGTACAAAACTGTGTACAGATTTCTAATGTTTTTGCACCAAAGTAAGCTTATTTTTAACTGTATCTTACACCGACCTTGAAGGTTTTCTTGCTTCTCAGCTGTATCTTAGCCGTGGAGTAGGATCTTAATGTCTGTGAGCCTCAGTTTCCTCTTCCACCCTACAGCAGGTGTGCTGATCCAACCTGTGCCAGGTGATTGAAAACCCCAGAGGCCATGGTCTGTTGACATGGGCCCTGAGCACAGTGCTGGTGTAAGATGGGCGTTGGAAATGCACTGGCCATCCTGTGTGTGATGTCATGCCATCTCGAGTCAGAGAGGGGTTCAGCATTGACATAATTCTTACTTTCTCTTACTGTTGACACCTGGCTGAACACTGCCTACTTTTTTTTTTTTTTTTTTGACAGGCAGAGTTAGACAGTGAGAGAGAGAGAAACAGAGAGAAAGGTCTTCCTTCCATTGATTCACCCCCCAAATGGCCACTATGGCCAGCATACAGCACCAATCCAAAGCCAGGAGCCAGGTGCTTCCTCCTGGTCTCCCATGGGGTGCAGGGCCCAAGCACTTGGGCCATCCTCCACTGCACTCCCGGGCCACAGCAGAGAGCTGGCCTGGAAGAGGAGCAACCAGGACAGAATCCGGCAGCCCGACTGGAACTAGAACCTGGGGTGCCGGCGCCACAGGTAGAGGATTAGCCAAGTGAGCCACAGCGCCGGCCAACACTGCCTACTTTTTAAAGTGTACTTTTTGTCCTAGTAGGCATTTGAGGGTGACTTCCCAGACCTATTGTTCCAACACCCCCAGAAAACAGATGTTCTAAGAACTTGGACTTGCTAAGAATGAGTGTTTCATTGCCATTATCATTATTATTATTTCTGTTATTTTTTCCAGACTCCTGCAAATAAGAAATGTGAGAGCGAAATGTGAGATGCATAAATTAAAATGCTGAGTCGAACGGGAGACAGGAGTCCGCGTTCTCCGACATGGGCGTGGGTGCTTACAGGGTTTGGGTTCCGCTGTGTGACTCATGGAAGTGACCCTTTTGTGGGGCAGGTGTGTGTGAAGCTGCGTGTCTCCACTCCCACAACTGGAAGTGCTGCGTGGGGGGCCAGGAGAGTCACTGGGGAGGAGTCCCATAAGGGAGCTGCACCCAGGCCCCTTGGAGAGCGTCGCCTTTGGCTCCTTGTTTATTTCTCTTTCTCATACAAACTGTGCTGAAAAAAAAAAGTGGCAGGGAAGTACCAGAGCGAGAACATGAAGTTCAGAAACAACAATGGGAGAAGCAGAACTTTCCTAGGACTTCACTTGCTCCACCCACTCTGCCTTTCTCTGCGGAATCTTATTGCTTCCTCCGGACGTCACCCGGCACCCGGCAGTGCCCTGACCTTAGCCAGGACTGTGTTTTCTCAGGCCTCACCGACTGGGCCTTGAGAGGGGGCGGGGAGCGCTGCAGATTAGAATAACAGTGCAGTCACAGGAGGAAAGGATCTGTCTCACCAAACGTGCCGGTTGCAGCCTGCTGTA